CTTCCATTGCATTCTGCAACTTCAGGATCGTTCCCGCAATGTAAATGGCACTTTCATTTCTGGTTGGATCATGAGTCTTCCAGTCAAAATTTTAGAGGGCGTCTCGCAGAATTGCTTCGCTTTGCGGGTCTTCAACATGCACTTTGGAAGGAAGTCTCGTAAAAAAAAGAGTTTTTGTGCAAAAAAACGCTTTTGAGAGAAAGCGGATGCACGAAATGTTGTGTTGTTCTATACAAAGGGTGGCCCCGAACCTGGAAAGTCAAGCTGTGCGGAACGACGGTTTCCGGACGGTCTCGCGTCATGCTCGGATCATGCTCGGATCATGCTCGAATCGTCCCTCCATTGTAACTAGAGCTTTCACATGTTTCTTGTGTACGTGCTGTTGATGGACTTCCACTGCGTTTTGCAACTCCTGGATGGTTTCTGCACTGTAAATGTGACTGCAAGTGTTGCTGGTGGATGAGTTGTCGCTGGAATTTCATTGCGTTTTGCAACTTCAGGATCGTTCCCGCAATGTAAATGGCACTTTCATGTCTGGTTGGAGCTAGAGCTAACTGGAGCTAGACCCCATCGTTGCGGGCCGGAAAAATGGGGGGTCCGCAGGGCATGTGCGAAAGGACACTCCGGATGCAGAGCTATAGGTCAAATTGTACTTCCGCCGCCGGCTTGCCCGGGAACTGCTTGTATAATTCTTTTGTATTCATGTCTTGATATGTGTTGTTTGTTCAATCACATTACAAAGATTTACAAAGCATCAAGCGGAATCACATGCATCAATTTCTTTGTGAGCCTGATCTTATGGCTACTGTAAATCACGCACAGCACTCGCCCAAGTGACTCGAGGCATCGCCGGTGTCATACCCAGCACTCGGCGTGGAAGCAAAGTGTCCTGGTGTCTCGAATGCGAGTAAGGAGCCACGATCAAAATTACTTACAGTACATTACCTCTTCTCATCTAGGGATGGACGAGTCCCCTATCGTTTTACAAGGGTTGGGTGTTCCAGCTAGGCTTTCCCTCGCGAATGCAAGGACGCGGATGTCACTGAAGTTTTTGGGCCTTAGACTGGGCAAATGGCTTCCTGAGGCATCCTGGTGCAAGTCTGGGCTATTGTTCAAGCATCCACACGCGGCCAGAATTCCAAAGTATAGTAAGTCACAGACATAGGTTCTCGCTTTTTTGATGATTTTTGTGAGTCCCAGGGTTTGAAGAACTTCCACAAATCAACGGGACATCCAAAAGGAGCTGCCTTTTCCAATACATTTTCAGCGTACCTTATATACATTTATATATATATACTAATTTCTAACGTATCAATCTGGTGTAATCTCGCTGGTTCACTGTTCTGCATGGGTTGTCGAAGATCCAGACATGATACACTTGTCCAAACTCCTAAACGAAGAAAAAACACTTCCGATGACCGAAGAATCAAGAATGACGGCGCCGACCTGTTTCAGGCTCTTCGGTCTCGGGTTCATCAGGGCTTTGAGTTGAGACTGTCCCTGCAAGGATGTGGCACTTGGACATCAGTGCGCAGAACTGTCACACCTGATTTGCAAGTAGCTAAGTAGGAAAGTATCACTTCTGATAACTGTCTTGGAAAGCGTTTTTGAGGCCGAACAAGACACAGTTGTCCGCACCATCCAACTCATCTGACTCATCTGCCAGATCAGCCCAGCGCTTTTTGGCCTGACAGTCTGACAAAACATGAGCCAAGCCTGATCAAGAAAAGGTAACTTGTGACTTTGGCTAGTCTAGCTTGTCTGGATCGCTAGGTGTGGCCAAAAGATCGACTTATGAGTCTACGGTGCGCAGTCTCTCAGTCTGCTTTTGGTGTGCACAAAGTCCGTCTGTTTTGCTTCGCGTGTCTGAAGACATGAAACACAAAAACAACAACTCAGATTCAAGCACGCTGCACGTAGCAGGACGCACAAACACACAGTACAGTAAAAACATCATCCAAGCATTCAACCGATCTTGCAGCTGATTTCCCCAATCAGCACAACCAAAGAGATGAACTGGCTGGAACACAATGCAAATTACAGTAGAGGCCCGCTGTTCGCCGTTTGCCGCAGCCATATTTTGCCTTCGTTGACTGCACCGGGGGGACGCATTTGAGATCCTGCTCCGTTGGAGCAGGACAGCAATGATTCAAGTGATTCGACCAAATGTTCCATACTAGGGGCTACTAGTCATCAGTTGTATGCACTAAGGTGACTAGTGACTATTGCTTCGTTGAAGCCACAATACTTTTGCAAAAACCAGCATTCTCCAAAATGGAACGAACTGTCAGCTGATTCAGCTGGTCAAAAAAGCGGTCCTCCTCGTCAGAGTCAATGAGGTCCGCCCAACGCTTGTGGCTGTCAAGCATGTCGGCCCACCCTTAAAGGGTTGAGCATCACTCAAAATTTGTGCAATCTCCAACAGTCGTGGGCAATTGGCTTGCCTTTTGACTGACCTGATGTCTGTCATTTTTAGGTGCAATGACTCAGGATGTGTGGCTGTCTAGAGTCAGCGTTCTCACTGATCCAAATGAAGGGAACGTGGTTCATGGTCCAATGGTGGGTTCTACTATATATATATATATAGTCGACAACAGTATGGTATGAGGTACTTAGTGCGGCATCTGCGAAGATTGAAAAACTCTATATAGGTGACCTAAAGCCGAGTTGCTGGTCGTTGCCTCCTGAAAAGCACCACCAAACAAATACAGTTTGATGCAGCGAACATCCAGTTGTCACTCTTCCAGATTTGCTTGTCGTGATGTGCCGACTTGTTCGTTGCAAGAATGCATGTGGCGTCTTTGTAAGCATCGATCATGTCGAGTTTCCAACATGAATGCAAACACGATTTGCGCTGCAACCAGTGTCGGGCCTCACAAATGGAGGGTGCCGCCGTCGACAAGCGATCTTCCTCCTGCCAAGCAGCGAGTCTTGAAAGCTTGCAACTAAAGCGAAGTCAAGGATACTGAAAAGAAACATGCATCCTCCCTCTAACAAACATGGAAGTGGAAAACTGATGAAAACTGCTGGTGTTGCGTAGCATCTTGACTGTTCTGCCTCTTCCGGAGGATCGCTGCGGCAAGCGGCCCCACTCGATGACGCACTCAAGTCCCGATCACCTAACGGTAGGCAGCCATGAAATGCAGTAGCATACAACGCATGGCAGTGGCTAGGTCCAGGTAGAAGGTGTTACATCAATCAAAGACCATCAAGATTCAAAAGTTGTATACTTATATATAGAAGGTAAGGTCATCTGGGATGAAGTCCCCTTCAAGCGTGCCTTATTAAGGATGCCCTTGCCTTCTTTCAATGACTATGGAATAGGTCAAGACCCAACGCATGGTGAATTGTCCCTAAAGGTTTGGAGGAGTCCATCCTTCCGAGACGTGCGATAGGAATCGAGCTCTCACACATTCGTATGATGTGCAATGTCTCCTCAAGTCAAAAAACTGGCACAACCTCTATACGCCTCAGATGTACAATCAACTAACTCTCTTTATTTCACCTCGGGCCACCTTGGATCATTGGCACTTGGCACTGGGCATCCCCGCATTGTGGCTCGAAGCTTGTGCAGGACATCGCTACTACCACTTGTAAATAAGGGGCTTTCTCAAATATCTGGATCAAAGGTGCAGGCTTATGCACCTTGAGCTCTAGAAAGGGCCAAGCAGGGCACGGAGAGGCAATCAAGTTCAAGAGGGCACTACCCTACATTGCGATGGACATCCCTTCAAGGCTTACTTCTGGGTTGGGTCTTGCAAAAGCTGTGATTTCCTCTCTCAATCAAAAGTTCTGTAGCGACTTCGTTGTAGAAGCAAGTGCAAATGTATGCCAGCATCTCACTCGGTCACTGCGCAAACCTTCTGATTCTGTTGGTGTCGAAGATTTGGGCCAAAACACGGCTGCCACGAGGCTGTCCTACTGTCCTGCCTTGCAGTTGTAAATGCACGCCCGATTGGAGCACTTGTTCCGGCTGCTCTTGGCGCAAACCTGTGCTGCGACCCGTCAGACAATCTGCCCTTTCATTGTTTTGCTTCTGAATGTGTTGCTTCACGGAGTTCACCTTGGAATATCAGCATGGAGAAAATACTACTTTAGCCTGCAGCAAAAGCATGTAGACCCAATGTAAACCACTCTCCCTAAAAAGAGTGGAGAAGCTTGGCGAGCAGCAAGGTGAACAAAGTAAGGGGGTCATAGATCGTCAGAGCATCTGACAAATTGAGTTGACTCTGGGACTGATAGATTTGAGCATCCCTACACTGTATCGGTTCTGCAGATCACCCAAGACCTGCCAGGCTGACTCGCTGCGGAAAATGCCAGGGGTTGCTCTTATGACTCGAGGGAAGCGGGAATAAAGGATGTGTAAACAACAGAGTCATGGTTGATGGATGTCCCCAGGCCCGGGTCCGGTATCTGTTGGGTTCTGTGCAGAAACGCTTCTCCACCAAAAGCGGAGGATGATTTTGGATGATAGCTGGTGGCGTGGGTTCCAAAAAGGCGAATGTTGTGCATCTTGAATCCAAACACGACCATGCTGCTTGGAGATCAAGTTGGATACGGAGTTCAGCACCACATGTCAGAGTCAGATGCATGTCAGAATGTCTGTATGACTTTCTCCAAAAAATGGCACATCTTCCAAAGCTCTTCTCCCTTGAGCCTTGTCTGGATTGCTCACTTCATTCTGCTCGAGGCGAACCCACATGGGGGCACCCCCATCCACCTTGTATCGTGCCTGACAGTTCCAAACACGTCTGTGTGAACATCAGACAATCTGAGAAATTGATGAGTAGAGTAGACTCAGTAGACTGCGGGGTTGCTACCCCTAACTGACCCCCAGTCCTCCTGCGCAGCTTTCACCAGCATCTCAACGCCACGTTCCTCAGCTGTGCTGCCAGTGTAAGGCTCCCAGGGTTGAAGCACAGAAAGCAGCTTGAGGATCGCTTTGGAGCGCTTCAATGAATCGTCGTATCCCGATCCATCCCTTCCCGATGCCTCAAGGCACCGCCACTCAAGCCACACGTGCCTCCAAAAACCACTCCCACTTGTCCAATATTGAACAAGAGGCAGTGAAGCGGTTGTGCGACAAATGAAGCTCCTGGGGACCAGTAGCTTCTTGTTCCTAGTAGGTACTTTCTCCTAGTAGTACGGCCAGGAGCCCCTAGTAGCGTCCTTGCTCCTAGGAGTGAAAACCAATGCAAGCCTCTGAGACTTGCAATACAATTGTAGCTCCATCTTGCCCTGCTTTGTTCGAACGACTGAGATCTCTTGTCTATCGCTTGGATTCTCTTTCACTTTAAAGAGACTCGGCATAGAAACAAACGAAGCTACTAGGACTAGGAACAAAGGGCATCGCTACTAGGAACAAGAAGCTACTAGGGGCTGCTGGCATCGCTACTAGGAGCAAGGACGCCACTAGTAAATCCTGGCCTTACTACTAGTAACAAGAAGCTACGTTCCTTGCTTTCCGCACCCAGGGCCTCGAGAGAATAGCAGCGCTGCACAAATCGGCCCAGCGTCTGGTGCGAGCGGGAGAAATGAGCCGAGCGATTAGTCTTGAGAGGTTGCATGGTCGTTGTGGCAATCAGCAAGCAAAGATCACAGGTTCGAACATTGAAGCTACACACTATTTCTCTTGAGAATCACATGCCTCTCCGCGAAACCAAAGGAATGCTGCAAAGAATGCTTAACTTTGGCTGAAAATGTTACAATAGACAGTAGACAGTAGACTGCTGTTAATAAATCCAGCATGGTCATGTTCATCCGGGTCAAAAATTGTGAAAATCTCCGGCAAAAACATGAGATTGCTCCATCAAGGCGGCTCCTGAGCAGCATCATCATTGATATCCTTAGGATGGAAGGAATTGGACTAGTCTTTGAGCAATAAAAACTTGGGAAACCTTGGGTTCTTGAGACTTCAACCAGGTACAACCCCTTGCAGTCTGTGCATCGGCTTGAGGGGTGGACGTTCTTGTAGAGCTTCAGAATCCGCAAGTTCTCACACCGCGAGCACAGCTCCAAGACCTTTTTTGGACACGAGTTCTCAAAGCGAGACGTGACCATTTTGTGAAGAGTTGCTTGAGACATGGCTGAAAGTTTGAGATAGTTTGAGTACCTACTTTAAGCAAGGCCAACGGTCCTATGTAAGTCTGTGCGTTTTCCATCCACAAGCGCACCTTCCGGAGGCCTTCTGCACTCAGGTGGTTCCTTAGATCAAATCCCGAAGACCGCATTTCGCGCGCTTCAAGCGACGTTGACAAGGGCAACGGTCTTTGTGTCACCCCCACCGGTGCCACCAGCCCCTTTTTGAGCCACTGAGTTCTTTAGCTTTCCAGCTTTCCTTGGAGCGCCGCACTTTCGCGCGCGTCCAATTTGCAATAGGCCCTCGACTCCGCTCAGGTGACTTTGGCAAACCAGTAGCCTTGGCAAGCAGAAAAGGCACCTTCTCCACATCCAGAATCCAAAATATACATACATTACATGTTTTTATATAAGTGTATAAGTGCTGGTCAATTCTTTGCGTTGCATATGAAGCTGGATACCTAATAGTCAAGTTCACCCCCACTTCTGTGGATCATGCTGGCTAACCATGACCATGAAGCACCGTGAGCACTTCTTTGGAGGAAACTTCAAGACTTGAGGATCCGCTGGAGATCAATGTGACTGCGTGCACCGGACATATGGTGCTCCCTAGATCAACTCATGATGAGCAACACTGCCACTGAACTGACCCACATTTTCGGGACAAGTCTGCTGCCGCATTCTACAGAGTCAATGTTGAGGCAAGTGATCAATTCTAGTGCTCTAAGGCTTATCCACCCCCTTCTTGCTCCCGCTCTGCAAATGCCTCCAAGAAGCAAGGGATGAAAGGAAAGATGTGCTCCAGCCAGACATGGTGAGAGATATCTTTGGCACATGATAATGTGCTTCGCTTGTGACAAAGTAGCAGCGTCAGCATGCCTAAGCCCACAAGATCGGTTGCCAGTGACTCTCAACCAAAACTAACACGAAAATCAAGTCAATTGCTGCCCTTTAGTCATGTGGTACCACACAACCTGGTGAGAGCTTTGCATCAAATCTTTACCGCCTCATGGTCAGTGTGACAGTGTACCATGCGACCCCCTCTTACACCTGAAAATGTGAACATGGAAGAAACAAAAGCTATCCTTAAGCCAGGCCGTGGGGCACTTCAGCGCGCTGCGTGGGAAGAAAACACTTCTTTCAAGCGTCCACCCCCCGCCTAGGCACACCTGGCTGGGTGAAGTCATTGGATGATCGTCAAGAGCGGTGGCACTGCAACGTGATTCAAATCCTATTTTCTCCAGCAGAAGAGTCTGTGAAACCTTTCAAGATGTTAAACAGTTTCAAACAGTCTCGGGCTGCTGCTACATGAGGATGTCTGGCAATGTTGCCTCCTTCATGCTTTCAGTTGCAGTCATTTGCTTTGGTGTCGATTAGGCGCCTCTATCCATAGCTTCTGCTGATCTTTGAGCTTCGCGTTCTCAACCATCGCCAGCTGATCGAACTCCTTGAAGCTTTCGTCTCAGATCGTGAAGCTTTCGCATGAAAGCGAAATGTGCGAATCCCAATCGTCTGTGGAGGGTCTGTCCTCCTTCGCTTCACTCCAGGGTGGCAGCGTCTTCTCTTGCTTGGATTTCCTTGGGCGCAGGAAAAGTCAATCGTTTCTGTGGATGTGAACTGTTACTTGTAGACTGTACATGCCAGCAAATCTCTTTACCCAACGAAGCCACAAACGCTGTCTATTACGAGGTGTTTGATCATGTTTGTTTTCATATGCTTATCGACTTTTGGCTCCAGAGGAATCAGTTTGCTTCAGGTACCTGAGGTGCAACTTCAAAGCCTTTTCTGTGACGATGCTTCTACGGTTCGCTGCTGCCATGCATCTGCATGTAGAGAAAGTAGCCATTTAGTGCTGGGCCTGGAGCTAAGTCAATCAGCTCCTGGAGTCAGGATTGACACAACATTAGCTGTCATGAGTTCATGCATCTAAATGAACCTTGCGTACATGGTCCACATATGTCCACTTTCTGCTACTCAGAACCAATCTCTCAATTTATCCTTTCCAGAATCGGGCAATTTTTGAGAAGGCAGTTTTCGCAATTGTTTTTGCTCTGGACTGTTGGGTACCCCACAACAGGACCTTCAGCACGCTGAACACGCGAAATCTGGATAGCAGCATCTGCTGGTAAACCTGCAACCAGCAAGGATGGGAGGATTTGCAAATGCAAAGCATGGTCAAACTTGTCCCAGGGCATTGAGTCAATTGAGACCCACTTTCAAACAGTGTCTGAAATAAAGACATGGAAGAGTTAAACAAAGCAACAACAAGGAGGTGAGAAAACTGAACTCTACTACAGTTGTAAAAGTGTACAGCAAAAAGTTGTCAATACAAAGTACAGACTGATTAGGAAAGTTTGAAGAGGTCTACGGACAAGCATGCCCACAACAAATACTCGCAATGGAGCTAAAAGCGGTGGCCCAGCTGATTGCGCTCTCAGCAATTGGATTCTCGCAATTGGCAACACTAATCAATCCTCCTTCTGCCAACTTGTAAGCATGTGCTCCTCTCAGTCTTGACATCAAACGCTGCACCGGTTGCCTCCTCCGCTCGGGTTGAGAGCTGCCGGTAGCGGCGACGTGTCTGGCCATCCAGGTCATGCCAAATGCTGTGCAAACGACCCGGGCTAAAGCGCTTCTTGGACAGGGAGTCCCACTCCTTAGGACACACGTGAAAAGTTATCTCTTCATCCATAATTTTGCAATGCCAAAATGATATATTAATATACATAATCAAATCTTGGATTGTCTCAAAAAAACAGTTTGAGATCCGAATCTGAAAATTGACCTGGCCAACAGTAACTAGGCACCTGCTCAATGAGATGCTGTTCCGTCATGGGTTTCGGTGGTTTCCGGAGCGATGGCCATGGGAGCTTCAGCACATCAGAGCGCTTTAACGCCTGGTTCGCACACAACAAACTCAATCCTTGGAACCGTGGAACCCTCAAACATCTTCCATCTCTGTCCATCCTCAGACCTCTGCGTTTTGTGAACAATCCACCAAACAATTGTCACTGGTTTTTATGTTGCAAATTGGGCAGTTCGACGCGTTATTCGGCTGACCGTGTTCTTTAGGGTTCTTTTCTGATCTTTTTCTGGTAGCGCTGTCATGTGGTGATTCTGTGGCAGGCGCAGCACGTTGAGCACCTTCAGTTGCAGAATTTGTGGCAAGTGCGGCACTTTGCGCACTGGATGTGCAGATTTCGTGGCAAGGCATCGGCGCGGGTGATGACGGTTGACAATCACCCCTGCAATTTCATATGATGGTGACAATGACGGCGATGCTGATGATGATGATGATGATGCTGATGATGATGAATGATGAACATGATGATAACAATGACCGTTTGCGCTCGTGAGGCTGACAGTGTTTACGATGATGACGATGATGATGATGGCGATGGTGATAAACCATCAAGAGTCTAAGACGAGGGTAAAGATGATAGTTAGACAGCTGAAGTTGGCACCCGTGCTTGAAGGAGAACCCTTCCCAGCAGCTTTCTGAGAAGATCGATTCCAGCAGCAAGCACCGACGCCTTTTAATCTTTACGTTACCGAGGATACGCCCCGCGCAGCGGTGTCAAGCGCTCAGATTGCGTACGCAGCGGCTCACTTTCGCACAGAGGCATCTTACTACATTGGAATGGTGCATTCCTGTTCTAAGTCTTCCCCTCGCATGGCTGGTCTGCTTGGCGCCTTCTAAATTTTACATTCGGGTGGCTCACAAAACGTCTGCTACCTAGGACTGGCCCCTGCACCCTCTTAAATTTTACATTCAGAAGGCTCACAAAAGGTCTCCCACGTGGCAATAGCCCCCTGCCTCCTTTTTGAATTTTACCATCGCATGGGTCACAAAAGGGCTGCTACATTGGAATAGCTGATGCCTCCTGTAAATTCACCCTCGGCTGGCTCAAAAGTATGCTAGATGTGTGTGGCTCCTGCGTCCGCTAACTCTTACCTTCGGGAGGCTCACACAAGGTCTTCTGCCTTGCGGGGTGGGGGATCAAAAAATCGGTACAATGTCAAAAAATATATTCGACGGTATCAAGAAGAGAAAAGAAAGGGGTCAAAAAATATTCAATCCCAGCAAGCAATAAAAGGAAAAGGAAAGGGAAAGGACAACAGCAGCAAGGCGGGCGACTAGAGGACCATGAAAGGACGATCGCAACAAATAAAAAATAAAAATTAGGCAGGGGTGCGCAGTACTTGCTGCGTGGATATGCGATGGGGTGCCCTTTAACAGGTCGGTCGCGGCAGCCCCTCAGCGCTTTGGCCAAAGCAGATTTCGCGGCGCCGAAGCGGGACTGCAAACTACAAAAGCCACCCGACGCTGAAGGCGCGACAAAATACATCGAAAACTACACACCGTATTGCCCAATCAATGAGGGGCCCATCCACTACACGACAGTCCAAGGATGCTTGCTACCGCGCGCAACACAAAATCAAAGAGACTTAGGCGGGCGCGCGCAATATTTTGTGAGAGCGATGGGTACGTGGGCGACCTTTAGAACATCTGTCATGGTAGGCCCAGCTCATTGGCAAAAGTAGCGCAGATTTCGTGGCACTGGAGGGGGTTGGGGGAGGGCGCAGCGTCTCCCCCCGACAGCGAACCAAACATCAAAAGCCATCAGACTCAAAAGGCGCCACAAAATAGGCCACCATCGAAAACTACACACCCCGTTGCCTCATCAATGAAGGGCACTCAAAAAGTGAGGCAAGGACCAAGGCAACCGGACTGAGACCAAGAGACCAGCGGATCAAAGGAGCAGTGAACTAGGGACCAGCGGACCAGGAGACCAACGGCCTAGTGGACCACTAGACTCGAAGACTGATCTTTTTTGATCCTTTCTTTTTCTCTTTTTCATCATGTTTTTCTTTTGATCCTTTACATTGTATTTTTTGATCCAGATGCCTGCCTTGAACTCCCTCCCCATATGGGGTGCCCTTTTGCATCTGGTTCACCGGCCTCTTCACCATTAAAAAGGGCGCCCCCAAGCAACTCAAAGCTTGCCCACTGCATTCTGTTCCCTCCTGGGTCATATGATTTCTTGCAGTCCCTTCCACTCCTATTAGTGACAAGAAAACAGAGCGCTTGGAGACACACATCACATTTTTTCTTGAGGAGTTCCAACCACTTTTCACGTCCTGTTGTCCCCCCTTTCCTGTCCTCGACATGAACTCCCACCTAGACTGCTTAAATAGCCTCCTGAGCCCCTCATAATGCTAATGATGCACTCTTTGGTGTCAATTACATCACTTGCATCACAACAACCCAAAAACCTTACATGCTCATTCCTTTTCGGACGCCCTCTATTTTTCGCTCTCCCCCACCAGGCTCTGGGTTTGCCCTACTAGTTTGTTCCCCTATGCGACCACCCGCCCCACACCCCCTAATACTCACTTCGTTCGCCCATCGACATCTCCAGCCTAGCCTATCGGCTGGCTTTCGTAACTACCCCCATATCAGTGAATGAAGCCACGAAAAGCCAACAGAAGCCAACCGAAGCCACGAAAAGCCTACACACGCTAAGCCACCGGAAGCCAAAAGCCAAAGCCACCAAAAGCTAAAAGCCTCCCAAAGCCAAAGCCCCCGAAAGCCAAAAGCCACCAAAAGCCAAAAGCCACTAGAAGCCAAAAGCCAACAGAAAGCTAGCACACCACAAACGGTGAAAAAATAAATAGATTGAAAAAAATATCCCCCCAAAAAAAAAAAATATATATATATATATATGAACCTGTCAAATGCTCTGCTACACATCTGTTTTCTCTTCACAAATCAAGCATATCAATGTGTCCTATGCCCGACCTGCGGATCAGGAATGATTCCGCCTGGCAGATGCGCGGAGCTCCCCAGAGTGGTGCATCAACGATGAAAGTTCGACTCACTCTGCGGGACGTGATTCAGTTTTCTCCGCTTCGAATGATCCTACAGTAGATGAGTTCCGCTTCCATAGCAATGACGAAACAACTACCCGCTGAAGAGCAAACCATCGACACAAGTCTCCCGTCCTCCAGACCGCTTCCGACCGAAGCGGAACTCCACCGAGAGGTCCGAAGCACCCAGCTGAATGTCCTCTCGATGTCGGTCGACAAGCCCTTTTGGTCGCTCAAGCCCTGGTCCGAGCAGTCGGAACTGCACTGCCGTGCCGTGCTGTGCTGCGGTGTATGTTGTAGTCACTGTTGTCACAGGATGCAGATCACTGACTGGGGAGTTGTGTCAATCTGAAGCTCAATTGCTAAATTTCCCTTGGGCAAAGACACGCTCCAAGCATTCGGCAAACCTTTCCAAGATCTGCCCTATGCCACACAGGATCTGTCTCAATTTAAACCTGCTCCAGGAACCTGTTGACCAGGAGCGAACTGCTTGCTCCCTTTACAGAAACCACAATTGGATTTCTCGCTGTCTCGCTCTTGAATCCAAACAGCCAGGTGTAAACCGCCGCACCTGCACCGGCAAAACTTCCACGGAGATAGATGTTCGTTCTGCACAGCACGATACCAGCCATCACCAGCAATTACACTCACAAAACAAATCAAAATTGCTATTTTCTAGGAGAGTTTCATAGATTCCATAGACGAGTCAGAGTCACTGCTACTCAAACAGCTGTGGTATCTTGCCCAGAAGAAAAATAACCCGACAGCTCCTGTTTCTGGGAAAAGGCAACGCTAGCTGAGAATTGCGAGCATGAAATGTGCGTAAGCAACACGTCTTCAAATACTTGTTTACAAATGATTGTTGACAGATGTTGACAGTGTCTTGCTATCTCGCTGCTCACCTGCGTATTGCACAAAGCAAACTCGGCCAAAGTGCCGCCGTTCTTTCGCGACCACAACTACCTCAGACAAGCGCAGCCAACGACGGTTTTGATCCAACTTCCATGTCAAACCCACAACAAACTGCAGCTGTATGTACTATTTGGGCCAAAGGCGATACCGATGTCAAGCAGCTGCAGCCACCAAGTGTAGAGACAAGACGGAGATTCGGCGCGAGCACAATCTTGATGCCATGTTGCTAGATCATTCATCTCCAAGCCCTCTGTGCAGCAGACTTGGGCCTGGCCAGAAACCCGACGAAGAACCCGAGCCACAAGACTGTGACAACAAAGATTGCGAGACATGACAAATGACACTCCCTCATTTTGGGGTGTCCACTCCAAACGAAGATGTACATTGCTTAGCACACGGCATCGCTCGTAGACACTTGAACCGAAACCTTACCTGCTTCTGCAGCCTCAAAAGCTCCTGCGCCGATCGTGCTGGAACTGGTTGAAGCCTCAACTATAGATTTACAAAGAACAAAGGAGGCTAGCAATATAGAACTGAGTCCAACTACAGCAATTCATGTCTTTGTCTGTGCCTGCAATCATATATATATATATATATTTATGTTGTTCTTGCTTAGGATTGACCAAAAACATGTTCCCCCCCAAGCCCAAAGCTTTTCAACGGGAGCATCTACTCAAAAACCTGGCAAAGCGGACATGACTTCCGTTCTGAAGCTTTCTGAGCGACTTCTCCCAACTCTCCCAACTCTCCTGCAAAGCTGCCACGTTTTGGCGGCCTTGCCACAAGTCAGCGGTCACCAAACGTGAGCGTCGAGGCGCTGGGAGCTTGCCGCCCAACATGGCGAACGTCCGGCGCTTTTTGTCGCGCTATTTTTTTCAGCAAACGGCTTGTCAAAAAAGAAGGTTCTCTGGAAGAAGTTATTTTGTCTGTCGGCTTGTTGTCTCTTCTTGCTGGGTTTTTCAACCACTGACTACACTATGAGATCCCTGCAGTGGGTGTTGAAGAGCTGTCAACACGAAAATCAGCACCTTTAAAGGCTGGGGAACCGGGTAGTGCCCTCTCCATCCAGTTGAATCTCTGCTCAAAAAGCTTCATGTTCTACTTCCGCTCGCATGGGAGCCAGCTCAACAGTCCTCTCAAGTAAGAATGCAAATTGAATTGCGTCCAACATATTCGCTAAACGGTATGCTATTGAGAGAGTCTTTGCTTGCCAGCAGCCGAACTTGAATACTACCATGTTCCCAAATGGTCTTACAAATCAGCTCCGGCAAGGACTGGAAAGGTCAAAGTACCATGCTTGTTTGGACGAGCTGCTGTGAAAAGTTCACTTCCTCATAGGGGTAGCTCACGTCTTTGAGGGGAAGCTCCTGAAGACGATGTTCAACACGATTATAAGGCATTCGCCAAAACTTTAATGAAATAAAGTAGCTCATCGAGCTGGGCATGATTTGCAACCCTTTCTTCATAGTCTGGGGCAAGGTGTACTTGACACCAGCTCCTGCAAGTCGGAGTCGCTGAAGGCGCGGCCCTGATAGTCCAGCCTTGGAAGAGCACCCCTTGAGGGCTCTTGGACCCTTGAGATTCGAGCAACAACTCAAGAGGCTTGTGTTGTCATGGTAATAATACCAAGTCTTTCCGGGAATCCCAAGTGTCCAAGCTCTTTTTGTGAACCGAGTAGTTCCTCTGTTTTGAAGATCCAATCCTCCAACCAATCCGGGAATGCGGCTTCTTGGAGCTCATGACCTGACGATGTCGCGAGGAAAAAGACACTTCATCAAGACGTGAAAGCCAAAAGGGTGTTGTTCTGGCTATCCAGAAATGGTCTGAGTCTACAGTCTTCCAGAGAACGAAGCATCTTCCGCTCAGAAAAATATGGCTTCTGGGCATCTCATTCTTTCGGACTTTCTCGTGGTTCATTGCATGCATCCAGAATGCAGGCAGCGCTCTCCGTTCGTCAAATCCACACCAAACACAAACACTTGAAAGAAACAAAACGAGATCTGCCTCTGTGCCATGCGCTTCTACTGAACTTGCGGCGGCAGATCCAAAATCAATGCACACCACGAGGCTGGGCTGCGTAAGGGTGGGCTAGCGGCTAGCGGCTATGATGGCTGCGGGAGGGAGGGATTGATTACAATGGTTTCTTTGGTTCTACTCACCAAGCGAAATTTAGCCAGTTGGCTTGTAAGCTTGAGGGGTTGCAGTTCCTTACAACTCGGGCTTCCTGGTGTCTCTATTTTTTGTCTCAGTGTTAGCTGCGTGGCTGTGTTATCAACTTTAGAAGATGCTTGAAATACGTCTCCAGGTTGGCATAGGCATAGTCTCATATGTTGCTTATTGCTTTGGCTGTTTCTCCTTGCCTCTCTTTCTTTGCTGTTCATCATTGCAAGAATTGATGCATGAAGTTGAGGGTCTGA